ATATATGAAACTAGGCTTCCCAATTTTTTTGATTTCCTGTCACCTCTTAATTTTTATTCTGTGTGTTCTCATAGATTACGGAAGCTCATAATAAAGAGAAATTAGCTTTAATTCTGGAAATTACTGAAGAAATTCTGTAATCTTCATTTCTATGGAGGCAGAGAAATACTGTTTGTATCTTGACATATTTATCAGTTGTAAGCTCCTTTCAAACCAGTTTTCTGGAAGAGTTTAATTTATAGCTCCTATTATTTTGTTTTTCTTTTTAGATCTCAAAATGAATGTCATGCTCACAAAAAGCGCCAGACAGGAAACTAAAGTCTTGTGCTTATTCCAAGTCTCTAAATCACTGTAAGTACCATAGCAAAGTCATCTGCATGAGCATGACTCTTCCTAAAACACAGTATGAAAGTAAAATTCAGAGGTCCCAACGCAGAGCAGCTGCATGACTCCTTTCACTGAACTGGCTTCAGAAGACAGTGATGTCATGGCTGAAATTGCAAAAGGCTGTTTAAGCAACCAGTTCTGCCTACCTACTATGTGTTTCTGCCCTGTACTACCGTTTCACTTTGGTCAGACCCACTGGCTTCACCCATAAGTGAATCTCGTGTTGCCAGGTCAGTACCTTTGTTTAGAAGGCACTTTTCAGAGATCTTCTTTTCTTTTCCTCATCCTTTCTGCATCCTTCTAGGCTTTGAAGCTTAGTGCAGTTTTTCCTCACATCTGGGAAGACTTCTTTAACCACAGCCATTTACTCTCTTGACCATATAAGGGTTGTTATTCATGGCTGCATATGAGAATTAGCTAAGGTGTATGTAAGATTTAACTATATCTAGGCAGAATCCAGACCAAATACCTTAGCCTGGAATATAAGTTCCAATATGTTTAAATGTTCTATAGGTAATAGAATGTGTGGCTGAGATTGAAATTCATTGGTCTGTAATAATTTTTGCACCCACATATAAATTGAGGTAATTGCAATTATACACACACACACACACACACACAATATAATGTATATTTTAAATGTGCATTCAATCATAAAGATATTTAAATTTTCTTTTGCTTGGCAAGCAAATCATTCTTTAAGCAGATATCAACAGGAATGCTCTCAACTGGGCAAAATGGTACATAGGACCTAACCTTTCACTCCCTTTTCTCCTTTCCTTGCTCCCATTCTTTTTGTCTTCTACTTACTTTCTTTTTCTGTTTTCTAGCAGAACCTATACACCAACCAGTCCTACTCCTACCCAAGAGTACAATAGAACAAATGTTTTAAATCTAATGCTGTACAAAACGATGCACAACTTTGAAATCCTGTAATTTGCTTGCAAACTCCTGCTGCAGTTAAATATATGAAAAACTCGCCAACCTATCGAAGGATTAGAAACTGTATGGGAGGTTTGCTGAGCCTTCTTTTCTCCAAAGGGAAGTAACTCAGTCCATTGTAGTGTTTTGTAATTTAGCACTTCATTTCCGTTTTCCCAATGTATCCATAAGATTGTGAACTTCCAGGGCCGTGACTATAAAAATCTTCATTCTACATGTTAATCCAAATACTGAAGATATTATTTAAGGAGGCTCTCGATTCTGATCCAAATATTGATTACAAACTTCTAGGGACAAGAGCAAAAAGTCTTTAGTAATTGTCATCAACAGATTAATTGTGCTATTATTAACACAATATTTGTTTCTCAGTCTAGACTAGTAGTTCTTAACCATGGCTACATGTCAAAATATCTGGGGAGTTACTTTAAAAAATGCTCTATTACTTGAAGCCCTAACTTGAAATGTAGAATCTCTGAATGAACACTTTAAAGAGAATACCGGATAATTGTGTGACCATCAAAGATAAAGATGAGCTAGATTATAAAATAACAGTAGTTTTCAAATTATAGGATGCATCAGAAACTTCTACATTCAGATCATCTTAAAAACATCAGTTTGCTTAGCTCTTCCTTCATTTTTTGATTTAGTGTGCCTGAGATGTGCGCTTAAAATCTGGATTTCTAACATGTTCCTAGGTAACACTAAGGTAACTGTTTCATGCATAACATTTTTTGTCTATGTCTTCCTAAAAACCAGTACCACAGGGTTTCAATTACAGTAGTTTTGTAGTAAGTTTTGAAATCAGGAAGGTGAGTTCTCCAAATGTATTCTCCTTTGCAAATATTTGTTTATTCAATGATACTTGTAATTACATATGAATTTAGGGACTGTGTTCTCTAATTCTTATTTGAAATGTCATTGGAATTTTGATAAAAATTTTGTTGAATCTGAGAATTGCTTTGGATAGTTTAGACACTGTGATATTAAATCTTGCAATCCACAAGTGCAGAATGTCCCTACATTAATTTAGGCTTACTTTGATTAGTCAGCACTGTTCTCTGCACTTTTGGTTTTATAGCTTTCCTTGCACAAATATTTCACCACTTTGGTTGAATTTATTCTTTGCTATATTTTTGTTTTTGAATGCTTTTATAAATGCAGTTGTTTTCTTAAATTCTGTACTGGAATACTCACTGCTAGTAGATTGCATCAGAACCGACTTTAATATATGGATTTTATATCCTACAATGTGCCTGACTTTGTGCATTAGAGCCAATAGATTTTATGAATATATTCTTTGTAATTATTTTTATACAGAATCATGTTATCGAGGAATAGATTTTCACTTTCTTGTTACTAATTTAGATGCTTTTCATTTATTTATTTATTCATTTATTTTTTGGTACTGGGATTGAACTTGGGTTCTGGAGCTTGTGAGGCACATGGCAGAACCACCACTGATCTAACTCCCCAGTCCTCAGATGCTTTTTAGTTTGTTTGTTTGTTTGTTTGTTTGTTTGTTTTTGCATATGCCATAATTCTTCTAAACTTTCAGTTTAACTTTGCATAGCAATTTTGCAGTGAACACTGTTGTCTTGCTCCTGGCTTTAGTGGAAAATCTTTCCTGATTTGCACCACTGAAAATATTTTTAGCTGTGTGTTTTTCACTGCATAGTTCATCAGGCTAAAAAAGTTCCTTTATATTTCCTTACATTTTAAAATGGTCAAAAAAGATAAAAAAATAACATTTTGAACATGTTAATATTTATATAACATTAAAATACAATGCTCCTAATGTTCTATTTTTTGTATTAGAATCCAGCCATGATTGTTCTTCTCCACATTGTCCAAGCCTACTCAAAGCTGAGTAAGCAGTGACCTAGGTCATATTCCCACAAACCAAAAAGGTGATTCAATGGGCATATTTTGGACAATACTCATTCACTCCTGGTCCAGCCCTTCTAGACCATAAGGTCTATCAGTGGTGATAATTTACTTTCGTTTCATAATTGAATTCCTGTGATTCTGTACTATTTACTATCTAGTAAAAAGTAGCCACTTAATTAGAATTAGTGGAATTATGAGCATAAATAATTCTGAAATCACCCAGTCCAGGAAATCTTAACCCTTTTTAACTTACGAACTCAAATGGATAATTAAGAAAATAACGAATAAGTGAAACATTTCTCCATCTTTACAGTAAAATGCTGTAGGGATTTAAGGGGTGACAATAACTGGCATTACATATATTAAAGTCACATTTGTGTACATATCTGTATATGAAGAGACACATCCACATACAGTTTTTGGTACAAGAAGAGTGGTACTTTTTCTCCTCCTCCTTCTCCTCTTCCTCCTCCTCCCTTTTCTTCTTAAATTTATAAAAATTCAGCACAAAATTCTGACATGCATTCCATATCTCATCAGGTGGTCTCTTTTAATTCCTGGTTTCTTGGCCAGTAAAAATAACCGTATGCCTCTCTCATGGTACTTTTGTGACTAATACTCGAATAGCAAATATATAGCTTCTAGAGCACAAAGGGTAGACAGAAATATGTAGAAATAAAACCATATGCCAGGTATAGTAGCTCATGCCTTTAATCTTAGCACTCAGGAGGTTGAGGCAGAGGGAGCACTATGAGTTTTTGGCCAGCCTGAGCTACGTAGAGCATTCAAGGCCAGTTGAAACTGTATAGTGAGACCTTGTCTCAAAAAATAAAAGAAAGAAAACAAACTATAGATTCAGAATTTAGATATTTTGTTGATATTACTGAATTCTAATGCAGAAATGAAAAGTTTCTATAGAAAAAGAAAAAAGAGAAAAGTTTCTTATTGTTGATTGATATTACTCAGGATTCTGTCTAAGAGATGTCTCAGGAATATGGAAGAGTTTTATAACTCTTTGGGAGCAGAGGCCTTCTCATATAGAGAGCTGGTGTTTTGTTACCTACAGCAGAAAAAGCCTTTGGTAATCCAATTTAGGATGACCAATAACACTGGGTTAGAAAATTGGACAGTCTTTGGTAAAAAGCTACAGAATCCTTCATATCTCTGAATATTGTAGACAATTCTTGTACAGTATCTCATTTAACATCATGCCTCTCCGAATCACCCTATTCTCCCAATGCAACATGGAGGAATTATCAAGCGATTAGGTCTTTATTTGCTTCTTTTACTGCAACAGCTAACTCCCTTGTGTCAAACATTAAAAATCCGTTTACCTCTTTTGCTTTGTAATTGACATGTGAAATTTGACATATGTTTATTTTCTTTTTCTTTTCTTCTTCTGTTTTTCATTTTCTCAATTAGATTTTCTATATTTTGAAGGAAAATGATATTTTCTTTTATTCTTCAGAACATTTTTTCCAAAGAGATGAAATAAGATTCAGATATCTATATGTGACCATGACTATTATCAAAAAAATTACAAACACATGGACTGTACAATATAAACTGTGGCCTGATAAGAACAGCATAGGTATAAAGAGACAGACTGGTGACTGGGGACAGCTGACAAAGCACGATGTTGTTATTTGGGGGAGTGAGCGTATAAGGGAGCAAGACAGAGGGAAGATGCTTGTTAACGCTGACAGAGTACAGGTTTTCTACAGAGCCAAGGCTGTAAACCATGTTCGTTCTTTTTCGTTTTTGTTTTTGTTTGTTTTTTGAGACAGGGTCTCAAAATGTAGTTGAGACTGATCTGGAATTCACTGTGTAGCCCAGGCTGGTTTTGAACTCACAGCAATCCTCCTGCCTCAGCCTCCCGAGTGCTGGGATTATAGGCATGCACCACCACGCCCGGACATGTTCATTCTTTTCATCTCACATGATGTCTGCAAATGCAAATTTCCTTATACAATTTTCTACATAGAAAGACTTTTGAGAATTGCATGGATGTCATATCTTAATCTCTCTTGGGTCATTCAAGACTCATTCCTTATTTATCAATACTACAGAGGACTGTAATATTGATTATACCCAAAGCATCTGTGAAGAATTAACCCCACATGTGGCTTATTTATAAAAGTGAGTCTGGGGCCAGGGATTTAGCTCAGTGCTTTAGCTGCCTGCCTGGGGAAAAAAAAAAAGTGAGTCTGGCTGAAGCCTATGTGTGGAGGTCAGAGTAACTCACACCCAAATTCTGTTTCCACAGTTAAAACCCTCAGACTAGGACAATGTTCTCACTACATTTTGTCTATTCTGTTCCTCAATTGAGAATGCTTTTTCTTGTCCTTTATGAGCCTTGTTTGCATTAATTTGCATAGAAACAACAAGTCACCTTTATTGCAATTGATTGCCAATAAAAGTCAGCGCCCGGGACTGGCCAACATTTTCATTGGTTACACCAGCATTGCTTGCCCTGGCACCTTGCTTTATCTCTCTTAGTTCTGTCTCTTAGTGTATTTATTTCTCAGGCTTGCATCCCACACTGGGCATGTGGGGATTAGAGATTTACAGCAGAAGTCTCTGGCAAGTACAGACACTATATGGCCCATTAGTTAAATGTGAAATAGGAAGAAAAGGGCTAACGGTGTAGGGGAAATGGGAAGAATGGGGGCAAGGAAATAAGGGAAAACAAAAATATATGAAAAAATGGAAATAAAGTTTTTATAAATAGGGAAGGGAGAGGGGGTGAAGGGAAGGCAGGGGTAAGGGGAAAAAATAAGAACCAAGACTTGTCATGTAAAGATACAGGATCCCAATGATGAATGCAACTGTACTGTATACCTAAAAGGTACTAATAAACTCAATGGGGGGGAAAAAACACCAAATTTTCATTCCCAAACTGTGCCCTAAAGATCTTTCCTAGGTGGTGTTACGATACTCAGCAGTACATGGCAAAAGTTGAAAAGATAGAAAAATAAAACATACTGTATATAAAGGTAGATGTGTTGGATTTGACTGCCTTTAACTTTGCTATCCTGTCCATATTAAAATGTA